AAAAAGTTGCAAGAACATTACAAAGAACTCCCATATACTCTTTACTCTGATTCACCAACTGTTAATTTAACATTTTGCCCCATTTACTTCACCATTTGCTCTCATGTTCACTATGTGTATAGAGAGGAACATATTATTAAAAATAAATTAACTTCAAGGTAAGTTGCTGACATCACACTTCTTTATCTCCAAAAACTTGAGTATAGTTTCTGAGAACAAAGATGTTTTCTTACATAGCCACAGAATAATTATCAAAATTAGATTTAACACTGATAAAAATACTACTACTTTACAATCCATATCCAATTTGCTAATTGTCCTATTATCTCTTATAACTTTTTTTTTTTTTTTTTTTTTTTTTTTTTTTTTTTTTTTTTTTTTTTTTTTTTTGTCTATTTCTGAAATCCCACATTGCATTTAGTTGCCATGTCTCTTTTAATCTGGAACAGTTCCTCAGCCTTTTTCTTCCATTACCTTGACATTTTTGAAAAGTACAGGCCAATTATTTTGTAGGATGCCCTTCTATTTCAGTTTATCTCATGTTTCTCTGTGATTAGATTCAGGTCATACATTTTTGGAAGAAATGTACCACGGAAGCAATGCTGTGTCCTCCTCAGTGCAACACATCAGGTAGCACATATTTTGCTCTATTATTTGTGATGTTAATTTTGAGCAACTGGTAATTCCTGCCTGAATCAAGTATTACTATGATGAATGCAAAAATCATGATTTTTAAAAAATTTCATCATCTTCTACATTAGGTAGCATTCTAATGTCAAAATGAGCTCTAACATCTCCATTTATTTATTTTATTCACTTGGTTTAATCTACTGATTTAATTTGATGCTTGAAATATCTCACATTTGGCCAGTAGGATCCAATCAAGCTGGCTCTTGTGAATTTTTACCTGAACACATCCTTTCTTTATAGCAAAAAACCACAATCCAGAATCCTTTTATACTTTTTCTGTCCCAGCCCTACAGTCATTTCATATTTAGAAACCATGATCTTGGTATTAGGTGTGTTCATTGCTATTGGGGTGTCATTACTTCTAGGCCTTCTCAGTGGACAGAGCTAAGAAATGTGTGAAAGTTTGTGTATATTCATTTCTCCTTTTCCCAAAGACACACACATAATCACACATAGCCCACATATGTATATACCTATATCTATTTCTCTCTCTCTCCAAGCATACATATACACTATATACACATATGCACTTAATAGATGTATGTATGAACAAACCAAAATACCACCAACACTGAAACCCCAATACCGATCTTACACAAGGTTCATTTTAAATTTCATTGTTTAGGGGCGCCTGGGTGGCGCAGTCGGTTAAGCGTCCGACTTCAGCCAGGTCACGATCTCGCGGTCCGTGAGTTCGAGCCCCGCGTCGGGCTCTGGGCTGATGGCTCAGAGCCTGGAGCCTGTTTCCGATTCTGTGTCTCCCTCTCTCTCTGCCCCTCGCCCGTTCATGCTCTGTCTCTCTCTGTCCCAAAAATAAATAAACGTTGAAAAAAAAATTAAAAATAAATAAATAAATAAATAAATTTCATTGTTTATATATTTGTAACTCTCTTCTGTTAACAGTGAGAAACCTTGTTGCTATCATCTTCAATGTTTAATCAATTGCATAATCCCAGAATTCACAATAAATACTTTCACGATTGCTAAGTCATATCACTGTAAAAAGCAAGTCTATTAACTAGAGTTCAGTATTTGTTTACAGTTCTTTTTGTCTTTAGACTGAAGACATACCAAGTACTGTGCTCAAAAGTGATTTGGGTTACTTATCTCCCTCCCCCTTACTTAAGTTCACTTGTTATTTTTTTAAATTCTACATTAGAGTTTTTGTTTTTTTAATCACTACTCACCATTAATTTTATTATCAGTATTACTTTAGAATGTAAAACATTAATGTGATCCCCAGAGTCAAAACTATGCGAAGAGGTCATCCCATCCATATTCTTCCACTTCCTGCTCACTCATCCCTTATAGATAACCAGTCTCATTTTTGGCTTATTGTTCCTGGTTTTGTTTGTTTGTTTGGCAGAGAACAGAAACACATATACTTCCTTATTTCCCCTTCTTTTTTACAAAAAAAAAAAAAAGTGGCATATTTTGTGAGGTTTTTTTTTGGTAATTTGATATTTTTTTTAATTTAAAAATATATCCTGGAAATCACTGCTATCAGTTCAGATTATCTCCCTCATTCTTTTTTACTGCTTTGTACACCATAATGTAAATGAACAATTTAACCAATCACTCTCCTGTGCATAGTATTTTTAGATTATTTGCAATAATCCCCAAAGTAAACTCCTCAAAGAGGGATTGCTGGGTTATAAAGTAAACACACATAGTTTTGTTAGATATGCCAAATTCCTCTCCACAAGGGTTGTACCACTTGGCATAAAGTGTGAGAGTTCCAGTTTCTTCACAGCCTCACCAAGAGTATTATTAAAGCCATAGATAAGAAATGGTGTATCAGTGTAGCTTTAAGTTCTCTTATGAGTAAAGTTGAACATCTTTTCATGTGTAGAGGCTATTTTTTATCTTTTTTTTTTTTTTTTTTTTTTTTTTTTTTGGTCAACTGCTCACATTTTATCAGATTTTTGGCCTTTCACACCCCACCCCTTTAATTTTTAGAAGTTCTTTATATACATGGCCTTTTCTGCCCTTTTATGAAACATGTTGCAAATACTTTCTTCCCCAGCTTGTATTTTATGTATTCAAATTTTAATCTGTTACCACACCTGAATTTTCTGTCACAGTTAGACTGTCCACTGACCTAGATTATGGAGGAATTTATCCATGTTTTCTTCTAACACCCGTGTAGTTTAATTTTTCTACATTTATGTCTCTGATCCATTTAGAGATTTGATTATTCTTGTGTATGATGTCAGATATAAATCTAATTTTATCATTTTTTAAAATGACTAGTTGCCCCCGCATCACTTATTTAAAAGTTCCTTTGCCCCAGTGATTTTTTAAAAATTTTTTAACGTTTTATTTATTTTTGAGACAGGGAGAGACAGAGCATGAACAGGGGAGGGTCAGAGAGAGGGAGACACAGAATCTGAAACAGGCTCCAGGCTCTGAGCTGTCAGCACAGAGCCCGACGCGGGTCTCGAACTCACGGACTGCGAGATCATGACCTGAGCCGAAGTCGGCCGCTTAACCCACTGAGCCACCCAGGCGCCCTGCCCCAGTGATTTTTAACACATCATGGTCATCACATACTAAATGCCCATATGAATGGAAATTTATTTAGATGTACACCTCCAGACTTTCTATTCTGTTTCTCTGGTCTATCTATTCATGCACCTATATCACACTGTTAATTATTAAAACATGTTAAAAATCTGAGGACTATGCCCCCTCATCGATTTTCTTTAGTGTTTCCAAGTAGAAAGGTCTTGTTTCACAGTTTTATTAGTTTCTACTTTATTACATCGTGGCCAGGGTGTTGTTTGCAATATCCCACTTTAGGAAACTTAAGTATGTCCACTTTGTGACATATTATATGTATCTTGTCTGTAAAGATTACGTTACAAAATACTCTTTGCCATGCATCTTAGAAAGCATTTTCACATACATTGTTTCTCCACAATCGTGCCCTACAAGCATCTTATGCGATCACATCCTGAGGTGGGAGTAGGGAGGGCAACAACAACCCATCCAGCACTAGACCCACAAATAAATGAAGGCTTAGATCTTCGCTCTAGATTGCTAACTCCTAAAAGCAAACAAACAAACAAACAAGCAATCAAAAAACTTCGTTCCTGACTTTTTTCATACTGAGAACTAGCTCTGTGACCACCCTTCTAAATATCAAGTAAAATTGCTGAGGGAGAGTTCTACCATAAGCATACTAACTGTAAGCTTGTATTATATTTTTCTTTTTAAGTACCTGCTGGACTCTTTAGTCTGTTCTGAAGCCTGGATTCCCTTACAAAGCACCGCGAGTCAAAATACTTCTCTTTAATATTATCCTCTTGAGTATTCTCTTAAGGAACTGAGGTTCGAATTACACATATAAGAGGTTCCAACGTCTGAACTGGAATTCAGGTTAGTTAGAACCCAAGACCAGGGAATTTCCCGAGGGATTCCCATTGCTTTCCCTTTTGGCTCGATGCAGTGAAAAATTGCTCTTCTGAACCCAGTCAGTGGAGTAGACTAACACGCGCCTTTCACGCAACCAGTGGGGCGACGAAACCTCTAAACTTTAAGAAACCCAACGCAACTCCCTTCGTTGCCATGGTAACGGAGGAAGACAAAATAATAAAGTCCGTCCAGAGCCACCCTTCGCAGCGAGCAGCGCTTATCAGGCAAGCTATTTCTCGCACTCCTGGCTCCGCTGTCACCCTGCTCCCCGAAAACGTGGCGCTGTTCTCCCTGGAAAACTTGACAGATGATCCATTCGACATCCCCCATGTGCTCTCTCCCCTGGCCACAGAGCCAACAAGCCATCTTCAGCCGCCTGCCGCCTCCTCCCCATACCCTGGGTCTCCAGAAAGCAGTTCGGGGCCGCCCGAGTGGCAGGGACAGGTATTCCCTGGCTCCCTGCGGTTCGGCCTGCCCGAGGGCCTCACCTGCGGGTACAGCTGCTGCGTGAACTGTTCCTGCGAAACGCCCTCCAGCCGGGCTACCGGGATGCTCTGCCAGGCCATGGTCGCTCACGCCTGTCCCGCTCAAGTCCCAGGAACCCCGGCCCGACACGTCCGTCAGCGCGCCATCCGCCCGGAAACGCAACCCGGAGAGAAAAGGTCCGCGGGGCCGCTCGACTCGCTAGAGCGGCTGGTCGGAGATCCGGGCCCGGGGCCACAGGGCCTCCGCGTGAGCTGCGTGCCGGAGAGCCGGAGTGAGGCCGACTCACCAGAGGTGGCAGCAACAGGCCAGATTCACTCTCTAGTCTCCTCCGGATGCGGCCAAGCTGGTTTCCCACCGACTTTGATTCGACACGGCACAGACAGGGACTGGGGTGAAAAGCCATAAAGATGGCGCTGGCTGTTCGTCTTTTGCCCCGCTTGCTGCTCGCTCCGCCGCTGCCCGGCGGGGCCAGCCGACCCCGGACTCCCCGTGGAGCCGAGGTGAGACCGCCGTTGGCTGAACTCTGCCGCTTCTGCCGCCGCCGCCTCGGCTCCGGACCGGTCCCGCTTCCTCGAGTCACTTGGGCCTCGGCGCTGCCCGCTCGGGGCCCGCAGCGTCCCCTGCTCAGCCCTCCGGGACTACCCGCAGCCCTCTCCGCTTTCCCTGCCTACCCCCGGCGCAGCTACAGCGCCGAGGAGCAGCCCCAGCCGCGCCAGAAAACCAAGATGATCATTCTGGGATTCTCCAACCCCATCAACTGGGTTCGGACTCGAATTTACGCTTTCCTGATCTGGGCCTATTTCGACCAAGAGTTCAGCATCGCAGAATTCTCTGAGGGAGCGAAGCAGGTTTGTTCATTTGCTTGGGGGTGACCTGTTCGCCTCTCCTGCATTCAGCGGTTCCATGCAAAAAGTGTTTAGCGATGAGGTTTCCTCACTGGGTCCCAAGGTATCCAAAGTGGGTAGTGACCCAGACATAGCCCTCCGCTACTTCTTGACTAAAATTCAGCTGCTTCTTACGTTTGCACGGTCGCCGAGGAGGAAGAGGGGTTCGATTGAGACACCAGTTCCACCAGCTGAAGTCCTCCAATTCCTTTTTCTGCTCTACAGGTTTTGAATCCGATAGAAATGAATTCGATTCAAAGCCCATTTCTGCCACCTAAAGCTACATGGTTTTATCTTTCTGAACATCACTTTCTGCAAAATTAAGAAGACCATGCCTGGCACATAGCAGGCGCTCCACAAATGTTAGTTGAATAAATGAATGAGTAGATGCGATCGTTTTGAAGAGTAAATAAGGTAGCATTTTCAAATGCAATAATGTAATTTTAGGTAGAAAAACAAAACTTCCTGCTAGCCATTTGGCAGAGCTCCCCAGCCCATCTCCCTACCCCCGAATTCTCCCCCATCATACTCTTTAAAGACTAATTTAGAGATAAGGAGTTTTACCCTTTCAAAGAATTTGCTGAGCAACCTGGTCGCTAATAAGTGCATAACATCCTACACACTGAGAAATAGCCTTTGGTGATTCATAACCCTGACCCCTTCCCTTTTCTTTCTCTTTCTTTCTGAGTGGCTGATAATACCTTGCCTTACCCTTGTCCCATAACAGTCACTTTGGGTCCTGAGATTATTTACGGATTTTTTTGTGTACATGCACTTTTCTAGGATGAAAGTCCATCTATAAATGTCTTTCGAATCCCTCGGAGAGTTTGTCATTCCCAAACATTTCAGAACTGTTGATAAATAGAAGTCATAGTTTATTTCCCAGTTCATACTGCCATATACCTTAAACTTATACTATAACTGTAATTATTTCGCAGTACTGATTGTATAAATAAATGTTTCCAACTTCATATAATCAGTGTCAATATTAACTCCTGCCTCCTGCTTCCCTGAGTCAACTCTTGACTGATTTATGTGTTTATAAAAAAGTTAAAAAGCAAAAGGCAGGCTTGATTAATAGCGTTATAAGTGGTAAACCTCTGCTCATATCAGTTCTCAAACTCTTTTGTCATGTAGAGGTAAATTGGTGTGATTCTACTATCCTCCACAATGCCCACTGAGGACACATGAACTTGTGTGCCTCATAACATATTAAATGACTGTACCAGCTCATTTATGTGTCAGTGAGGAATGGAAACCCTCTCCCCTTCTTGGGCAGGAATCAGGTTTTACACCCCATGTCCTCTGAACATAGAGGAGCATGGGACACTTTTTAGCCACTCTCTGATCCAGATCACTCTCTGGTCTCTAGCTATTAGCTATTTTTGCCCTCATCCTTGCTATTAAGTAGTATCTCCATCCTTTCATCAGCCAGTCTGTATACACGTTTTGCCTCATCTAAGTCGGTTTTTGTGCATTTAACCATTGTGATTACCAAAAGGAATGTTGGGCCATCCATGGCAAATATTTATCAATTCCTTTAAACCAATGCTTACTTATAACATACCTTTTATATCAAGCAAATCAGTTATTTAACACCTAAGATTTAAGAGGACATGGCCAAAAAACCTTCACCCTACTAGATCTCTTTATGCAATAATGCAACTGTGTCTTCTTTGCATGGGTTTAAAAGTCTAGGGCTTAGGAATAATCTGGTGCAAAAGCCTTAGCTAGTTCATCTACTCTCATGGGCTCCACTTGCCCTTTCTCCTTAATCTAACCTCTCAGCAATAAAATGTTACCTTGGGTTGTGAATATCAAGTTATCATTAGAGCACGTTCATTCAGATTTTTTTTTTTTTTTTTTTTTTTTTTTTTTTTTTTTTTTTTTTTTTTTTTTTTATATCAGAGAACATGAAAACAAAAAGGCATCTTCAGGACCATTCTAGTCTAATTCTCCTTTACAGATGATAAAACAGTTGGCTCAAGGATGCATTGTAAGCAATGTCTTGTGACCCTGTCTATAAGCAGTCTTGGTCCTCCAGTCACTAGAAATTGAGAAGGTTAATTATGGTCTGAATAAGCTTTTATTCATCACATGAGCCAGGGAAATATGTGGTCCAGTGCTATAGCTTTATTAGCTCCACAGACCCTGCTTTCCATTAATATGTACATATAATATGGAATCTTCCCTCTTACTGCCATCAAACAGCAGTAATCATATACTGTATGTTTTCTTATATATCTTAAGTTTTGTCCTTTTCTATGAAAAAGAGGGCTATTTCTTAGAAGCCTCTCTAGGTTAGATACTCCTTGTCATCAATGCCTCATCAGGGCAGCTTACGACAGTTCTGACACTAACTCCCTGGAGTTAATACAGATCCTACAGGTTAAGGGCTCGGTCCCACATGACTGACTCCACTTCAGATGCTAATTACAAGTCTAGGCCTCCATTTAACTGGGCCAGTTATAAATGGAGGGTTCCCACATTCCCCTTCCTCAAGTTCCATGATTTGCCAAAACAGCTCATAGAACTAAGGAGTGCACTTTACTTGCTATTTTCAGTTTTTTAGAAAGAATACAATTCAGGAGCAGCCAGATGGAAGAGATGCATAGGGCAAGGCATGTGGGAAGGGTATGGAGCTCCCGTGCTTTCTGGGTGCACCACTTTCCCAGCATCTCCACATGTTCACCAACCTGGAAGCTCTTCTAATTCCTTCGTTAGGGTTTTTAATGGAGGTTCCATTATTTAGCCACGAATGGTTAAATCATTGGCCATTGGTGATTAATTCAATCCCCAGCCCCTCTTCCCTTCCTGAGTCTAGGGTGGAGCTGAAAGTTTCAACCCTCTGATCACGTGGTTGGTTCTTCTGACAACAGTCACCTCATTAGCCTGAACTCCAGTATGGTTGAAAGGGGCTTGTTTTAGGAACTCTGTGCCAGGAGGTGGAACAGAGAACAAGTGTATATTTTCTTCTTATATCACAATGTCACACTATTGATATGTGCATATGATCCATCTTCCCTATTACTGCCATCAAACCACATTAATCATATAGTGTTTATTTTCCTGTATCTTCCTGTATCTTCTTGCATGTTGTATAGGCTATTTCCTAGCCTCTTTAGGTTAGACACTCCTGTATCATCTAAGCCTTCTCAGAGCAGCCTCCTGATCGATATTATCTGATCAGATAATTTGCTCAGGTGTGATCTTCTTAGGCCACACAAACATCACACCTTGCCCATACAAACTAGAATGTAGTGGTTGGTTTCACCATGATCGTTATGGTCTTTTTTCTTCTTACCTAAATACCACCCGTCTTCCTCACATGAAGGCTTATTAATACAGATAGTGTCTTTGAACCCTGAGGGCCTGTCACATGTTTGCAAGGGGTCCTGGAATCCATTTGGATATATGCATTTTCTGAAAATTCAACAACTCTTATTTTTTTTTCATTTTTTTTTTAACGTTTTATTTATTTTTGAGACAGAGACAGAGCATGAACGGGGGAGGGGCAGAGAGAGAGGGAGACTCAGAATCGGAAGCAGTCTCCAGGCTCTGAGCTATCAGCCCAGAGCCCGATGCGGGGCTCGAACTCACGGACCGCGAGATCGTGACCTGGCTGAAGTCGGACGCTTAACCGACTGAGCCACTCAGGCGCCCCACAACAACTCTTATTATGTCTGTTTGCCAGGGCTGCCATAGCAAAATACCACAGTCTGGGGCACAGAACTTTATTTCCTCACAGTTCTAGAGGATAGAAGTCCAAGATCCAGGTATTGATAGGTTTGGTTTCTTCTGAAGTCTCTCTCCTTTGCTTGCAGATAGCTGTCTTCTGTGTCCTCACTCTTGTCCCCCCCCTTCCCCCCCACCTCCGTGTGCATGTGCCCCTGGTGCTTTGTGTGTCAGTATTTCCTCTTATAAGGACACTAGTCAGGTTGGGCTAAGGCCCCCCCTCATCTTACTTAATCACTTCTTTAAAGACCTTTTCTCCAAATTCAGTCCTGAGGTACTGGGAGTTAGGGTTTCAACATATGAATTTGGGGGAAACAGTTCATCCCATAACATTCCATCCCAAACAATTATTGTCTGTCTGACATGACTTTGCATCTGCTTTGTCTTGCCAGTTCTTCACATTTCATCTGAGATGTTCCTTCCTTTAAGAGGCCCTCTCTGGTCCTCCCAGATTGACTTAAGTGGTGCTTCTGCTCAAGTCATCCTGTTCTTGCCCCTGTCATAATTCTTGAACTTGTCCGTTTACTTGCCTCCCTTCTCAAGTAGACTGAAAGCTACTTGAAAACAGGTAGGTCTTATACAGAGTTTCGTTTCTCACGGCTAAAAATATGGAGGATTGTAGTCGGTTCCTCCCTACTTTAAAATGGGATATCGGGGCACCTGGGTAGTTCATTTGGTTAAACATCCAACTCTTGGTTTTGGCTCAGGTCATGATCTCGCAGTTCATGAGTTCAAGCCTTGCATTGGTCTCTGCACTGATAGAGTGGAGCCTCCTTGGGATTCTCTGTGTCTCTCTCTGCCCCTTCTCTGCTCATAATCTCTCTCTCTCTCTCTCTCTCTCTCTCTCTCTCAAAAATAAATAAAATATTTTTTAAATGGGATCTCATACATCTCACTATATTAGACTGTGTAAACTCATTATATTTTCTCCCACTTTCCCAAACCTGCCTTCCCTATCTTAATGAGGTTCAGATTGCAGCCCAGATCTCCAGACTCCCATTACAATCTAGAATGTACTACTTACAAAATTCTTTGGGTTCTTGGGGAAGGGGGAGGGGTCATATAATAGTCATTACAGTGATAACAGTGATTACTTCATTATTATTTTAAAAGGAATTCTGTAGGAGGATTTTTATGTGAAGAGTTATGTTTATACACATACCATCTTTTCCCAGGTCCTAAGAGTGGTTACGTAATTGGCAATCAGCTCACTACTGTGTATGTGGGAAGGCCATATGAGAAGAGACAAGCCAAGCAACTTTGAAGCATATGATAGTATTTGACATTGTTTATCCTTTATCATAAAATAGTCTTTGTGATATTAAGCTAATTAAGTATGAGCATTGTATGTTGTATGGTATTTTGCATGATGTTTTGAAATAATGATTACCACTCCTCACCTTTTTTTTTTTAAAAGGCTTTTGCTCATGTGTCCAAGTTGCTGTCACAATGCAAATTTGATCTATTGGAAGAACTTGTGGCCAAAGAGGTAAAGTATACTTTTAATTTTCCTTTAAAAATAAGTGTATTACTCTCTTGCAATAGAATGATATGCATTACCCTTATTTATGCTTAAAAGTAGTATGTGTGCCATCAGCCAAAGTAGAGTCCTTGTATCTTTACTTTTGGGTACTTTGGGTCATATAAAAGCATAGAATGCTTGCTACTTAAGGTATAGCTAAGTAAATACGATGTCTTACACTTGTTTTTGTACTGAATGTTCTGTAGGAATTACCTGTTGAACAATTAGATGCCTTTCAGGATTGCTTTTGAATATGAGTAAATGTAGTAAATTTAAAAATACGTTTAGGGGTGCTGGGGTGGCTCAGTTAAGCATCCGACATCAGCTCAGGTCATGATCTTGCGGTTCGTGGGTTTGAGCCTCACGTCGGGCTCTGTGCTGACAGCTCAGAGCCTGGAGCCTGCTTTGGATTCTGTGTCTCCCTCTCTCTTTGCTCCTCTCCTGCTCATGCTCTCTCTCTAAAATAAATAAACATTAAAAAAAGTAGGTTTAGAAAAATTCATTCCATAAAGAATTCATCTGCTTACTGAAAGGCTTTTGAAAATTCAGTAGGTGAACTATGGTTTGCTTTTTTCCATACTTAGGTGCTACATGTATTGAAGGAAAAGGTTACTTCATTACCTGATAACCATAAAAATGCCCTTGCTGCTGACATAGATGAAATTGTATACACATCAACAGGAGACATCTCCATTTACTATGATGAGAAAGGTACTGCTGGAACATAGTCAACTTTAAATGATAAATAATTGCCCAGATAGGCTAAACTAGTGGATAATCATGAAATAGTGGGGTTTTGTTGGTACAGTGGATATGTTTAGAAATTCAAGAAAAATAATACGTTCATTCTTTAAGGACCTACCTACGAAAGAGTTAAGATATGGTAATAGTTATTTAAGCCCTTCTATCTAAGCACCTTCCTCTACTATTATTTCATTCACAAGAGAAGATATTGTCACTTAAGTTGATGACGATTGTCTAAGGCTGCTATCATGTCTCAAATAGAAAATATGTTTCAGATTTCCTAATTTGAAGGAAACAATTGAACATTTTAAATGTCTAGCTGTAGATTAAATAAGAGTGATGAGTAAAAAGTAAAAAATATCAGTTAAAGACTGTTTTGAAAGTAAGATTAACTGTGGAACTCCCAAATTGGATTTATTTGGAGATAATGAAAAAGATTGAAAGGAACTTTACTGGTTATCTCATTTTTCTCCTTGTCCAATGCAAACATTTTCCCCTATACTATTCCCCAAAATTTATTGACTCATTTGTTCCTTTTACAAATATTTGCAAATGTAGTATGTGCCAGGCACACAGGAAATCTAGCCTTTGCTTACATACTTTCCAAGGCAGTTCTGATATAGGACTCTTTAATAGTTAAACATTTTTCATACGCATGTTAACTTGAAACATTTTTATAGGTACTTCTAGTGATAAATATTTTCTTCTCCCTAACATTTCAAATTAAATCTCAGCACCATGGTCACTACTTGATTTTAACCCAGGACCTTGTTAGAATCACTAGGCACATAGCAGAGTGAATGAAGGTAAATAGTACATGTTCAATAAATCATAACTATTATTTCTGAGATACAGAGAAGGTAAATATGTCATAAACCCTAGGAGAATTTTCTAAAAATAAGAAGAGGGGCGCCTGGGTGGCGCAGTCGGTTAAGCGTCCGACTTCAGCCAGGTCACGATCTCGCGGTCTGTGAGTTCGAGCCCCGCGTCGGGCTCTGGGCTGATGGCTCAGAGCCTGGAGCCTGTTTCCGATTCTGTGTCTCCCTCTCTCTCTGCCCCTACCCCGTTCATGCTCTGTCTCTCTCTGTCCCAAAAATAAAATAAACGTTGAAAAAATAAATAAATAAAAATAAAAATAAGAAGAAATCAATGTAAGTATCTTACTTTGTTATTCTAGTTAGACTAGAATACGTACAAAATAGGATCTATACAAACTCGTGTAGCTACTGCCACTTTCTAATTTCATTTTGAATATATGGATGATAGATTATTGTGATTTGTATTTGTATGTGTGTGTGTGTGTTTTTTCTCTAAGGAAGGAAGTTTGTTAACATCCTGATGTGCTTTTGGTATCTAACCAGTGCCAACATCCCCAGTGAAACTTTAAGTGGAGCCAGTGTATTCCAGGTTAAATTGGGGGATCAGAACGTGGAAACTAAACAACTTCTTAGTGCAAGCTATGAGTAAGTCTAATCCCATCTCATTGTTTCCTTTCTCTAGAAAATGGAAGGTAGTATGAAGGAAGTATGAAGGTATGAAAGCTAAAGGGAGCTTTAGGAAGAAAAGCATTGAAATTTGGCAAGTTATTTAAGAAGAGAGAAAGTCATAAAGGCATACTGGATATGAAACAGAAGTGTTGAGAAATTAGAAAGAGGTAATGCTGCTGAATGTAATTAAAAGGTGTTTCAGCTGTCTATCGATGTGTCATAAACCACTCCCGAACTCAGTAACTTTAAGCAGCCATTTATTTTGTGTGCTGCTTTACTGCTCAGGAATTTTGGAAAGGCACAGCCATGAGGTTTTCGTTGCTTCACCTGCCATCAACCAGGGTGGCAAGGGCTGGAGAAATCATTTCCACGATGGCTTCTTCACTCACACGTGCCCCGCTTGGTGCTCCTTGACTTCCGCACATAATGTCTCATTCCCCAGGGCCTCTCTTCATGGCTTGGGCCTGTGGCAGTCTCCAGCTGTTCACATGTTTTACCAGGTGGTCAGCTAGTCTGGTAAAGGGCTATCCCAGGATCGGAACATCGTTTCCACCTTAGTCTACCTGTCAAAGCAGTCATAGGACCTACACAGTTGAAAGGACATGGAGAGATTCCACTTTTTATTGGGCAATAGCAGGGTCCCATTGCAGAAGAGCATGTGGGATGGGGCGTATGGTTATAACCTTACTCGGGAAATAAAATCTGCCACAGGTGGCACATGGGTGATTCACTCACTAGACATTTACTGATCATTCCCTCTTTATCAAGTACCCTGGTAGGGTTTCAGATACAAAAATGAACAGTTCCTGCCTGTAAAGAGGTACTATCTAGTAGGTTAGCAATGTATTTAAAAGAGACACTATCGTGTATTTTTTGCTAATAAAATTTGGAACAGTGAACCAGTCAAGCAGGTTACTGGAGACATAATTTAATATTTAAAAGACAATACTATTATGTTGCTGAAAGTATATAAACCTAATTTAAAATAATAAATCCCAAAAATGACCTAAGAAAATCTGTTCTGTTTCAGTAAGGTAAAAGGGAATTGTATCCTTATTTTTTCACTTTATTTGAAAGAAATGTGCTTTTTTTCTTTTTTTAAATTTTGCTTTATTTGTAATTATATAAAATATATATTTAAATACTTCAATCTACAGAATCATCTCCTTTTAAAGATATCACTTGTAATTAAAGAACAATATAATCAATACTCACCTTTGATTCCTCTGATATTCCCTACTAAGGCCATGGGCAGCTCATAAACACTGTTATTTTCAAGATTGATCTAATGTATATAAACCAAATTCCACTAAAATACCCTTTCCATCACCATAGCCCAATTTATTTTTCCTCATATTAGGCATATGTTCTAGCTAGTATTTAACAACAGAATAATACCCAAGTTTCTCTCAAGGACTGGTAGATGTTGGAGTATATATCAGTTCATTAAAAATACTCATTTTAGGGGCACCTAGGTAGGTTGGGTGGTTAAACGTCTGACTCTTGATTTCAGCTCGGGTTATGATCTCACCATCATGAGTCTGAGCCCCACATTGGGCTCTAGTGGGCGTGCAGCCTGCTTGAGATTCTCTCTCCTTCTCCCTCTGCCCCTCCTCTGTGCATGCTCTCATTTTAGTGGAAAATGTTCTAATTTTGTGACGATACTTTTCCTGATTGAATTGGTAAATTAAACTTTTTTGTTTTGATTTTTATTTATGATTAACCATTAGCTTGTTGCTAAAAATTGCCTCTAATGTACATTTGGAAATGATATAGTTATCCAAGAAGTATTTGGACTAATGTAAGATTCATATTATTTGTAATTTTTTCCCTAGATTTCAGAGGGAGTTTACACAAGGAGTAAAGCCTGACTGGACCATCGCACGGATTGAACACTCAAAGTTATTAGAATGATCTTTCTTGAAAAATCAGCTTGTTGGACTTTTGGCAATTACTATGAAAAATTAAGGAAAAAACCATTTTGGATCAGTTGATCTTCACATAGTCAAGTCTGTGGATCACTTTTGTATTATTTTGAAATATTCCTTGTAGTATATTGGCATGGTACAGTAAAGCCTTTTCCACAGATTATTATCACCTTCTATAAAAGAGATCAAAGTAAAAAAACTACAACAGCTCATTGTTGGTGTCATATTCAGTATCATTTCTTTTTTTGTTTTAAATTAAAAAAAAATTTTTTTGTTAATGTTTATTCATTTTTGAGAGACAGAGGGAGACAGAGTGTGATTGATGGAGGGAGACAGAATCTGAAGCAGGCTCCATGCTCGGAGCCGTCAGCACAGAGCCCGACCTGGGGCTCGAATTCATATGCCGTGAGATCATGACTTGAGCCGAAGTCAGATGCCCAAACAACTGAGCCACCCAGGCACCCCTTCAGTATCTTTTCTTTTCTTTTCTTTTTTCTTTTCTTTTCTTTTCTTTTCTTTTTTTTTCTTTTCCTTTCCTTTCTTTTCTTTTCTTTTCTTTCTTTTCTTTGTTATATTTGTGTGTCTTTTATTTTTATTTTATATTTACTTTTTTTTTTAATTTACATCCAAATTAGCATATAGTGCAACAATGATTTCAGGAGTAGATTCCTTAGTGCCCCTTACCCATTTAGCCCATCCCCCCTGCTACCACCCTTCCAGCAACCCTCAGTTTGTTCTCCATATTTATGAGTCTCTTCTGTTTTGTCCCCTTCCCTGTTTTTTTTTTTAATTTT